AAAGGATTTCATCAAAATGTTATTCATGAAGATAGTAGACACTTAATGAGAATTATTCTACATATGGGTATTTATGAATATTTGAGAATGCCCTTTGGAATTAAAAATGCACCCTCCCACTTCCAAAGAATGATGGATACTGAATTTCATAAAGAATTACGTGAAGGATGGCTAATAATTTATATTGATGACATTATTATTTTTAGCACTGAATGGAATGACCACCTTGACAAATTGAAAATTGTTCTAGAAAGAGTTATAAAAATGAATATGAAAATTTCTATGAATAAGTGCCAATTTGGTTTTCAAGAACTTAAAGCATTAGGTCACATAGTTTCAGGATTAAGCATAGCTATAGATAAAAACAAAGTAGCTGCCGTGATGTTAAAACCTATGCCCACTAATGTTAAAGAAATACAGTCATTCCTTGGTTTTGCTAGTTATTATAGACAACACATTAAAGATTTTGCCAAAGTAACAGGTTGTTTATATAAATTAAGCAGCCCAAACACTGCCTTTGAGATGACAGTAGGTAGAGTAGCTGCATTTAATAAATTACGTGAATTACTTACTTCTGCTCCTATATTATTTATGCCTAATCCTAATAAGCCTTATAAATTATATGTAGATGCTAGTATGGAAGGATTGGGAGCTGCCTTACACCAAATTCAAGATCAAGAAATACCAAAAGAAGGAGTCATTTGTTATATTTCTAGAACTTTGAAAGACAGTGAGAAAAAATATGGGGCCAGCCAACTTGAATGTTTATGTTTGGTCTGGGCCCTAGATAAATTATATTATTACCTTGATGGATGTGAATTTGAAGTCATTACTGATTGTACAGCCCTCAAAAGTTTATTAAGTATGAAAACTCCAAATAGACACATGCTCAGATGGCAAATAGCTATTCAAGAATGGAGAGGAAGTATGACTATCAAACATAGAGAAGGTAATATACATAAAAATGCTGATGGACTTAGTAGATGGTCTTTGGAAAATATACCAGATAACCCAGCATGGGACGGAGAAATTGCTGCAAAAATTATGTGTTTATTCCCAGAGGAAAATAATGAAAATAATCCTGCCTTTGATGATAACAAGGATGATATTAATATTTGTGGGTTACACGTGACTGAAATGCAAGAAGAATTTTGGGATGAAATCAGAATTAGTTATGACCAAAATAAAAATTGCTCCACAATAAAAGATATATTACAAAGTAATTTCAAAAATAATGATCTGATAAATTCCTTAGAAGAACCATGGCTTAGCTCATTTAAAGAAAATAGATTCTCCCTATTAGATGGATTAATTTACCACAGAATTAAACATACAAGTGTAATAGTTATTTGTTTGAAAGAACACATTAATTTATTTTTGAAAGAATGTCACGACAATATATCCTCAGCTCATTTTTCCTTTGACAGAACAATTGAGAGAGTTAAACAAATTGCTTGGTGGCCTAATTTTAGAAATGATACCAAAGATTATTGTGAATCTTGTGACAGATGCCAAAAAGCAAATAAAGCTACAGGAAAAAGGTATGGATTATTGCAAGAAATTGAAGAACCCAAAGAAAGATGGTCTGTTATTAACATGGATTTTGTTACTGGCTTGCCACCTGGAGGACCCAATAATTTTAATGCAATTTTAGTAGTAGTTGATAGATTTTCCAAAAGAGCAAGATTTCTACCGTGTCATAAAGAAGATACAGCAATGGATACTGCCTTATTATTTTGGAATTCTATTATTTATGATGTTGGATGTCCCAGATATATCATTACAGACAGAGACCCTAAATTTACGTCAGAATTTTGGAGAAATTTGTATGATTTATGTGGGACACAACTGAAATTTTCTACAGCTTACCACCCCCAAACAGATGGACTAGCTGAAAGAATGATTCAAACTTTGGAAGACATGATCAGAAGATATTGTGCCTATGGAATGACATTTAAGGATAAAGACAACTATACTCATGATTGGTGTTCATTATTACCTGCACTTGAATATGCTTACAATTCTAGCAAACACAGTACAACAAATAAAACACCTTATGAATTGGAAAGAGGCTGGACTCCTTGGTTTCCCAAAGAAATTTTAATGTCAAAAGCAGTACATATACACCCCAGTGCCTCTGATTTTCATTTTATGATGACCAAAGCTGAAAAATATGCAGCAGAATGCGTGAAATTAGCTGTAGATCACAACAAAACTAGATGGGATAAAACTCACAAAGCTCACCAGTTTAAAATTGGAGACCAAGTCTTGATATCTACATTTAATTTTACAAACCTGACTGGACCTAAAAAATTAAGAGATTCTTTTGTAGGACCTTTTACAATCAAACAATTACACGGTGCAAATGCTGTTGAAGTTATACTCACTGGAGAATTAGAAAGAAAACACCCTACATTTCCAGTCAGTCTAATTAAACCATACAAAACTAGTGATAATGATAAATTTCCTTTAAGAAAAGATAACATCAGAGTTGTAATACCTCCTTTAGAGAAAGAAGAAATTAAAATTAAGAAGATATTACAACATAGAAAAATCAGAAAAAACAATGAGGATATTAAACAGTATTTAGTAAGATACAGTGGTACCAAAGAAGATGAATGGCTTACAGTTGATAAAATACCTGATGCTGATAAAATTCTCAGACAATACAGAGCTGATAAAAGAAAATAACATTCATTTATTTCTTAGATCAGCCTTTTTTAGAGGGAGGAAGTGTCAGCCACAGAGTACATGTCACAGTACCTTTCATGTACCAAGTAACTGCAACACCTGTACTTATGTACATAAGTACTTATCCATAATGTTGATTACCTTTACCTCTTGTTATCTTATTATTATCATTAACTTATCTTATCTTATTTATCTTACATTTATCTTATCTGTTAATTACTTATCTATTTAAATACATACCTGTGTTCTACATAAGTAATTATCACTTACCTTTCACTCCCTTGTCCGTGAAATACCTGTACCACAAGTTATCCCTCTGCTACAGTATTTTCACGGTCAAATATTATTACAAATAAATATGTACATGTATTAAATAGTAAGTATTAAGTGTCAATAGAATTAATACATTCAATACATGCACAGATCACAATTATGACTACATTATTAGAGGATCTGTTAAGTACACATCAAGAGCAACTAGTACATTGATCAACTAGTACACAATTATGATGTCACTTACAGATCATGACAAATAATGATCAGTCACTCAATTGATGTGCTCATTCTCCTGGCCAAAGCTCCCTTGATTCTGAGCGCTCATTCTTCCCCCCCTTCAGTATTCTGGAACTTATAATCCGTGCCTCTTTCACTGATTAATCCCCAGAATATTCAGACACCAGTTAAACCAGTTAACATTTATATTGATACAGTACCCGTAACCAACATAAATCTTGTCTACATTTATTGTTCTTAAGCTTCAGTACTCTTACTCAACTTATCCACAGTATTCATAGCCTTGCTGAATATTCCCATCAACAATACCTGTTAATCTTCAACTAATTTTGTTAAAGCTTAATAAGTATTGTTAGCCCATTCCCTTTTGGGAATAACCAAATCAATCCCAGGTGAGTCTTAGTACCCTGGATGCCTATTAATACCTTGTATTGATCCGGATGCGCTGTTGATAGCAAGCCTCTCAGTAAAGACCATACTGATAGAGTGAAACCTCCTCTTTACAGGACTGGTATTAATCACCCACTACCTAACACTCACCACGCTCATAAACTACAGTCAACTCATAGTAACAACCTTTTTACTATTAAATATTCAGGTTAGTTACCCAGAGGCTGACAGGGTGATGAAGATTACATGAGTGGTGTGAGATAGTGTGACAGCTGCAAGGAAGAATAACAAATGACATGACAACCTGCATGATGTCACTTGTAAATCCAGAGGGGTTCCAGACCAACACTGCATGTGTCAATATGTCAGAAGATGGTGGAGTGGTGTGTATACTTATGTACTATGCTGGTGAGAGAGTGTAGTTGTCCCGCAATGTGCATATGTATAGTGTGTGATATGTAATTGTTGATGTGTTGGTGGTGATTGTGTCAGCCTGCAAGTACCTTTCACAATACCTGTCACCAGCTACTGTTCTAGTTACTACACAGACTACAATATGCATATTCTCTTTATTCATTTTATCTCTTTATGCTTATACAGTATTATGCATTGTACATACTATATAAGCTTTGTTCTCTTCTATTTCTATGTTCCTCAGAAATCCAAGAAGAGACAACTTTATCCAAACCTTATCCAATTCCTCTTGTTCCTGAAGTCAATCTAGGATTCACTACCAGGACCGCTACTTCTAGTTATATTGCGCCGATCCCTGAACTTTACCAAGCACAAAGCCTGTGGTCTAGTTATATCAGCGAATCACTGAACCTGAAGCAGCCTTCGATTTCTCAAAACTTATCACTATCTCGTTTTAGGAACAGAGACCCCTCAAGGTAGCCGGTTCTTACTCGATAGCTGACAATTGGCGACCACCCCAGCGTACCTGTATTCCTGGAACAGCCCGATACAGAAGGAAGTCGAGTTATATCAACTTCATCGTATTTTTTACTTGATTTTGCTCGACAGTCGAAAATCATTGTTTTTGGTCAACAAGAAACCATACTAGTCGTTTCTGGTCATCGCGAGAAAACCACCTCATCGTTTTTTACTCAACGTTCCTTGGTCGACGCTTGAAAACCAAACAAATCGTTTTTGTCAATTCGCAACGGACAGGAACCGCTCATTTTCTTTGAACAGCGCCTGAAAACCAGATCAGTTGTTTCCTTTTGGTTTAAGAAGGACACGAAGCTCCGATCGTCTTTGGGTTAACGGAAGAAAACCAACCGAGCCGTTTTTTTTTTGTCATCAGCTGCAGAACAACCGCCATTACACTCGCAACAGCTCAGAAAACACTCAGGTCGCTCATTAGCCTACGATTCCTCATACTCGGATTGATAGCCACCTACATCATGAAGATTGACAAAGAGATCAAATCATTGAAGAAACAACTCCGTGATCTCCAGAAGAAACTAGAAACAATCCAGGAGAGTCTGAACGCGAAGTCGCTGCCGAAGGTCGATACGATAGCTAACAAGAATCCAAAGAAAAGACTAGAAGATAGGAAGACACCAGCGGAACGTACCTCCTTGTCCGACCAGACTACAAATTTGAAGACAACAAAATCGGAAAAACAATCGGATAGTGATCCTAAAGCTAAGAGGAAGATGAATGCGACCAGCTCCAGAAACAATCAGCCGATCGCAAGCATCACCAAATCGAACCAGAAACCTTCTAGACTGATTACGACCTCGCACACACAAGACCGCAGGACCCTTCGCAGCCGATCATTTAAGGTCATGCGACATCTTATCAACATGGTTGACGACTCGCAAGCTGAGACCTTCCTACCTAAAAGCCAAGAAAGTTCCCCTAACCGACGAGAATCTAGTAGTGAGCCTGTACGATCTAAAACGGAGACCAAGATCAAAAACCGAAGCTCGGAAGTAGCAAAGCCCCCTGATGAATCAATTGAACTATATCGCTACCGATCAATTCCGAAGTACACCAAGATCTATAGAAGCAAAAGCAAGCCTGAAGGTTTCAAACAATTAGCAGAAAACAACAACATCTCCGTCAAAGATATCATCCAGCTCTACATCCCCAAAGTCCCAACTCCCAATAAAAAAGAACTCTACTACTACTCAGGCTATGCTACCAAACATCACAACAACTATTCAGTACCTGATTTATCAATTGTCCCATGCAAGATAAGGAAGAAATTACAAGATCCCTCATTTGCTTGGATGAAAAATAGATGGTGTTTGCTGAGTAGACCAGAACCCTGATTCCAAAGTGGATTTGCCTTTTTTTTTTATTGTTTTTTTTAGAGGTAGCAAATGTCAGCCTGCAAGTACCTTTCACAATACCTGTCACCAGCTACTGTTCTAGTTACTACACAGACTACAATATGCATATTCTCTTTATTCATTTTATCTCTTTATGCTTATACAGTATTATGCATTGTACATACTATATAAGCTTTGTTCTCTTCTATTTCTATGTTCCTCAGAAATCCAAGAAGAGACGACTTTATCCAAACCTTATCCAATTCCTCTTGTTCCTGAAGTCAATCTAGGATTCACTACCAGGACCGCTACTTCTAGTTATATTGCGCCGATCCCTGAACTTTACCAAGCACAAAGCCTGTGGTCTAGTTATATCAGCGAATCACTGAACCTGAAGCAGCCTTCGATTTCTCAAAACTTATCACTATCTCGTTTTAGGAACAGAGACCCCTCAAGGTAGCCGGTTCTTACTCGATAGCTGACAGATTGAGTGTTGACATGTAGTTGAGGTGTGTAAGTGAGTGGTGTAGAAGAAAAAAGAGGGATAGAAAAGAATAATAAAAAACTTCGAATTTTTACACATTCAGCTACCACATCCTCCCCCAACTTATTGTCTGTCCCCAGACAATTCCGCAAAAGAAAGTGGCTGAATGGGTTTTCATTGGGGTTGCATCATCCTGTGTAGAATCCGCATAAGGCTGTTCTTACTTCCACCTGGGGTTAGGGTGTTTTCAGTATTTCTTAGTTAGCCAAAAATGGGCCACAAAACCCCCCTTCTTTGGAAATTTTTGAGGGGGGGAAAGTTTAGATTTTTTTTTTTTTTTTTTTTTTTTTTTTTAGAGAGAGCGTGCACAGTCCGCAGCAGATGACGTCGAGTAGTCGTAGAAGCCGCAGCAGATTACTTAATCCTATCCAGGTCGCCCTTGAGTTCCAATTGGGGGTTTCGGGGTTCCAATACTCGTTCCGATCCCCGTGCTCCAGGCCGTGTGCGCCGTTCCGGACCGGGGTTCAAGTGCCCGGGGCCCTGAAGATATGTAGATATGTAGTGGCAACCGGTACCACTACATCCCTCAACCAAAAACGACTTCCAACTCCTTCGAATCTTCGAATCGGATCGCCCGTCAAGATCCTCGGTCGAAAAAACTAGGTAAGTAATTTGTTTTTACTTCTCGTTTCCGTGATTCTTAGCTTCATACGTAGTTGAACCGCCACCGCTGACTCTTCTTTTGCTGCTGCAGCAAACAGCTATGAGGCTGGACCCGAGATTTCTTCCGCCTGCCAAACACCGTCGCCGAGGCCAATTCCAAAGCCGCCGCAAAATCCCCTCAGGTCACCCTTTTTTCGAATGGCTCATGGCCAACCTGATGTTCAAGGGCTACCCAAAGGCAACTCCTAGTTCCGGAGCAACTCAAAAGGTGAGCTTCTTTCGTTCCGATTCTCCCCTTCTCCCTCAGTAGCTACAGTATCGTTATTAGCTGCCTCCGTAGTAGTATCGTAGTCTTAGTATCCGCGCCTGTAGTAGTGTTATCCATCCGTTATACTTGAGTAGTAGTAGGTTGTTGACTTGATTGCATCCTTATCTTAGATAAAAATGAACCGCTTCCGTCCTTCCCCTCCTTCTACTGATACAAGCCCCGGAACAGATCGTTCCTTCCCTGATTTAGATCGACACTTCCATCCCCCACCTTACAATCATAACCCGCCTCATTTCCCCCACTCTGTTTTTCATCCTCACCCCCCTATGTTTCATCCACCGGGTCCTGTTTTTCCCCCCTTTGGTCAAGGAGGCGGCTTCCGTGGTCGAGGCTTTGGTGGTGCCCGAGGTTTTGGTGGTGGCCGAGGCGGTGGGTTTGCTGGAGGCCAAGGTGGTGGGTTTGCTGGAGGCCGAGGTGGTGGGTTTGCTGGAGGCCGAGGTGGCGGCCGCGGTCGTGGTTGGGTCCCCTCTGCCGAGTTCAGAGTCCAAGGTCAGGCCAATCGCTTTTATCACCCCAACGGTCCAGCCGCTGGGGTGCCTTTTGGTCATGGTCACCCTCCGGTAAGTCCTGGTTGATGCTCTTGTCTTCCAGTGTTGTATTGTTAAATTCTTCAGTGACTGATGTAGGTTGGTGTGATCCTTAAGTTTCTTAATTCCAACCGAGCTCAAGTGGACATCGACAACTTTTTGAATCCACCACCTAACCCGTCTGGAACTCGTCGCCAATCGCCAATCGCAGTTCCATCTACTCCTAGTATCCCAGCCAATGCTGACCAAGAACCTAGTCACATCAGCTCTGTACTCTCCATCGACAGCTTTCATACTGCTGAGGATTTCTTGCTTCCTCAAATTCGAGTCCCGTCGCCTTCTCCTGCCGGTATGTACGACCCAGACGACTATCATCATCTAGCTCGCCACCAAGTCGAGGCTTTGTTAGATCGACGTGCGGCGCCCGAGCGCTTTGATCGGTATGAGTTTACTCCCCAACATTTCACCGATTTTTATCAATCGGCAACCACGGCTCTTGTGCACCACTTTACCCGCCACCCTGCTGCCAATGCCAACGAGCGTCAAGATCGAGTCCGCTTGTTCCGTTTTCTCACCCGCCAATACCGTACCATGACCCGTCGTGTCGTATGAGTGTAAGTTGTTTCCGTTTGCAATGTTTGCTTGTGCAAGGAAGTTACTGATTAACTCCTTCGTTATCCAGGTTTTGTCACTGAAATCGATTCTGCTGCCTGAACATTGATGGACAGCCAACTCCCAGGGGTAAAAACTTATTAAAGCCAAAAAAATCGCCATATAATTTTCTTTAACCTAAAAAAAGTATTAAAACTTTTCTTAAAGCTAAAAAAAAATTAGTATAACATAAACTTCAAAAAAAATCTTGTCTAGTCTCAGCCTTAACTGTTTTGTTTTAGCCTTAACTTCTAGATTATCCTGCCTGCTTTTATCAATACAAGCCCAAACCCCTCCCCCAACTTAAAAAAAGGTTGTCCCCAACCTCAATTTAGTGAGAGACTTGAGTGAACTTGAAATAAGGCAAGTAAGAAGGAAGATGTCAGCCACAGAGTACATGTCACAGTACCTTTCATGTACCAAGTAACTGCAACACCTGTACTTATGTACATAAGTACTTATCCATAATGTTGATTACCTTTACCTCTTGTTATCTTATCTTTATTATTAACTTATCTTATTTATCTTACAGTTATCTTATCTGTTAATTACTTATCTATTAAATACATACCTGTGTTCTACATAAGTAATTATCACTTACCTTTCACTCCCTTGTCCGTGAAATACCTGTACCACAAGTTATCCCTCTGCTACAGTATTTTCACGGTCAAATATTATTACAAATAAATATGTACATGTATTAAATAATAAGTATTAAGTGTCAATAGAATTAATACATTCAATACATGCACTGATCACAATTATGACTACATTATTAGAGGATCTGTTAAGTACACGCATCAAGAGCTACTAGTACATTGATCAACTAGTACACAATTATGATGTCACTTACAGATCATGACAAATAATGATCAGTCACTCAATTGATGTGCTCATTCTCCTGGCCAAAGCTCCCTTGATTCTGAGCGCTCATTCTTTCCCCCCTTCAATATTCTGGAACTTATAATCCGTGCCTCTTTCACTGATTAATCCCCAGAATATTCAGACACCAGTTAAACCAGTTAACATTTATATTGATACAGTACACGTAACCAACATAAATCTTGTCTACATTTATTGTTCTTAAGCTTCAGTACTCTTACTCAACTTATCCACAGTATTCATAGCCTTGCTGAATATTCCCATTAACAATACCTGTTAATCTTCAACTAATTTTGTTAAAGCTTAATAAGTATTGTTAGCCCATTCCCTTTGGGGAATAACCAAATCAATCCCAGGTGAGTCTTAGTACCCTGGATGCCTATTAATACCTTGTATTGATCCGGATGCGCTGTTGATAGCAAGCCTCTCAGTAAAGACCATACTGATAGAGTGAAACCTCCTATTTACAGGACTGGTATTAATCACCCACTACCTAACACTCACCACGCTCAAAAACTTCAGTCAACTCATAGTAACAACCTTTTTACTATTAAATACTCAGGTTAGTTACCCAGAGGCTGACAATTGGGGGTCTGGCCTAATTGGAATTCCGTGACTAACATATCTCCGTGCTTCTTTTACCTTTTGTCCCCAAAACATTTACTACTAACAATGGCCTTCTGAAGAACAAATGCCGGAAGTTTTGCCATTTATTAGACAAATAGATAGTACAATTGCAGAAGAAGCTAGTAGATATTACCACAACCACCCGGATAACATTACAGTTATTGAAAGAGTAGAAAAAGTGAAAGTAACAGAAGCAGAAGATAGATTCTGGAACTACATAGAAACTAAGCGCTACCATTGTACCCTTCATTCTACTTACTCCCCTGAATATATCCTCATAAATCTTGTAGAAGAAGACGAGTCTATCATAGAAAAAACAGTAGAAACAAACAGGAATAACTTCTTTACAGCGTTAGAAGAAACCCCTAAATATAGAACTCTTCCTACTAACATCTTGTCTAGAACTGTCCGCTACTACACTCTTCCACCTTTCACTGCTTGTTCTCCGCCTCAACCCAACTCTATAATCATAGATCTCACGGATTTAGAATAAATTAGACTTGTTTTTATCTCATCTCATCTCATTTTCTTAGTATAAGAAATAAAAACACCACAAAACACATAAATAAAAATTCTTGCGCTATCTGTTTTACTCATCGCGTGCCACAAAAATATTTCATTATATTTCCATTTGTTTCATCCACACAGAAAAAATTAAAAACCCTTAAAAAATACGCCCGTATCCCTTCAAAAAGTCTTATTTTTTCAGTCTGAGTCACTTTACACTATCACGGAGAGAGAACCATAACAGATACAAACAAACTCAGTCGACCATTCGATCCGCCGTACCCTGTTTACACTACTAGGTTTTGTCCTGAGCCTTGAAAGTCTACCATTCCTACGGTGTGAGCGGATCTAGTCTCATTTACCCATCATCTCGAGGGATTAGTACCTGGTCGAAGTCTAATACACCTGGTCGAAGTCTAAAAATAGATTTATCTCACGTGTACATAAGGTTCTGCAGGCCGTATTACACAGTTACAACTCAATACACCCCGGATTTGCCAGGATCTGCAAGGATCTACATACATACAGATCTTCCGTACTACCACTCCCGCCTAGTACATCACCCCTCCTACTAAAATCGTCGAAAGTGATCTTTCCTGATCTTTGAGAGAGTGTAGCTCCTTCATTATTTGAGCTACATCGACAAACAAGATACAGAACTCATCGCCTTTATAAGACGTATCCAGTGCCGCCTTCCTTTCCATCCTCACTCAACTCCTTCACCCAGTTTCAGTAGCAAACACCGACCTCTCAAGTTTTCGACCAGAAGTACCTTGAAATATTTCATTCTGAAAAGTTGAGCGTGTTCCTTAGCTTCTGAACTTATCTCTCGAACAAAAAATTTCTGAAAAAGCTCAAAAATTGGTTGTGTAACAGTGTCCGCCGTCAACAGCACCCTTAGCGCTAATATCCAAAACTTGGAAGTACACGATAAAAACACTGCGCCAAGAGACAATAGAGCCCAATCTCCCCAAACAACTAATAGAGAAGCCTCAGTAGTTGCCTCTGATAAATCCTCAGGTAAATTTAACACCTCTACATATTTTTTGTTATCAATTTTCACCGGGTTAAATTTTCCTACTAAGACCTGTTTTCTTTTACCATGTCTCCACCTTCTCTTAGACTTAGAGGTTATAATGGAAGGACCAGAGACGCTCCACCATCCCAGAGAGGATTTCCACCAGCGTCAGTTTTACCAAAGAATAAGGATAAAATAATTTACGCGTCGAAAAAGAAACTAACATCTCCTACTAACAGTTCCCAAGGAGGAGAAATTCGAGCGCTATTACTACAGGATGAAGACCAACAAGGAATGGCTGAAGGATGTGCGCAACCGCAGCAGTTACTCGGCCATCAGAGCTCATCTAAAGTATTGCCGGGAGGATTTCCAAGCGATGATAGATTTAAGAGGAATGACGACGACCCTCAAAAGAACCAAGGGTTGGAACCCATTAAACGTGTCGGCAGAGAGTCTCCTTCAACCAAGAGAAGCGCCGGACCTTCAAGAAGGATCAATGAGACCCCTGAGTCGCAGAGGGAGGAATACCCATTCAAGACACCCAAGGAATACGGGGAGGAACACTCAATGGCGCAGCCAAATCTACGAAGAGATGGTACGCCTTGGGAGGTCTCTTCAAGGGACTTATCAACACTTGGAGAAAGGCAAAATCAACCGCCAACACCGCTTCATGGAAGAGGAGCCTTAAATACTTCCCCTACACCTGCGCGTGAAAAAATTCCTGATAGTTCTGATAGTGATTCTACTAGTAGGAAATCAAAATTATTGTCTAGTGATTACTCTACGCCTCAAGTCCCCCATGAACATATCCCAATAGAAATTTCTCTACGCAGAGCTGTTAATATGTTTACTGAGAACATGAATTTTTTAGTACAACATACCTTAAGAAATAACAGAAAAATTAGCACTGATATGAAGAAATTGTGCCGTAAAATTGAGGGCAGCTGGGATAAAAGAGCTGATGAAGAAGATAATAATTTTACTTACATCAGAGATAAAGTTATGATCATGGAAACTGGTCTTGAATTATTACTTAAAGAAATGCCAGAAATGCTTGAGAAATTAGGAGATCAAACCACTCGAGTAATAACCAGAGTAGAAGAAAAATGGGAAGATATACAAAATAATAACAAAGAAATGATCCATAAATTCAACACTATGGAACAATCTTTCCAGAAACTACAAAAAGACACGCTTGAAAAAATTAATTCACAATATAAAAGCTTTGAAGATGTTGTAAACAGGATAGAATTAAATAATTTAAATAACAATAAAAATAATTCCGCTTGCATCATCAAATTGGAGAATAAAATTGAAGAATTAATTAAAATTAACCAAGAGCCTAACAGTTGCCAGAATTTAACATCTCAACACACTGTTCACGGTAAAGGAAAGGACATACCACCTCATGTAAATTCATCAATTACCATACCAGATAAAATAAGTACAAATCCTTTCTTTAATTTATCAAACACACAATCCAGTAATATGAATTTCAGTGACCCTAAAATTAACACCCCAGTTAGATCAATTAACACTGAAGTACACCATTCACACGTAACTGATGACCAGGATAAAACAATTCAAAAATTAATTTTATCAGGAATGCCAAAAGTTAATGAATGGAGTACCTTTTCAGGGAAGGGAGAGTATGATCACTATAAATTCATAGAATGGATTGATAATCTTAAGGAAGATACACAAGCACCAGATCCACTTATATGTTCTAAATTGAATTCAATTCTAACTGGAGCAGCTAACACATGGTATAATCAGAGGAAGAAAGAAACTCATGGAGTCAAAGATTGGAATTTCTGGAAGAAAGAAATTATAGCTAAATACAGCACACCTGAATGGAAAAGAAAGGTTAGAGAAAATTTCAGAAAGAACAGATTTGACATTAAAGGAGATATTGAACCATCTGAAT